CCTGACGCGTGTAGGCTCGCCATTGGCCCAGCCAGATGCGCCTACATCACACACAATAGAAAACGACCCAGAATTCAGTGTTATGTTGCAAGCTTGCAAATGCGGTCATCAACATAGACTTCATTCAAGAAATTTTGGAGCTTTTAAATCATTCCTTTGTAATTAATTAGGATAGGCCTCTTGAGCAAGAACAAACTCTTGTCAGTCATGCGAAAGGCTCATCACCTTCTCCAACCAATAATATGGGAATTGACACGTGCAATTTGGAGCACAGATCCGTCTACTATTTTTTGGCCTCCTTCCTAGCTGCATCTTGTTCTGTCTTCTTTTTATGAATACATCCCTTTCCATAGAATTTCCAATTGTCGGCGCCGATTATGGAAAGAACGAGGCCTTCAAGTCCTTCTTGACTTCTTCAACCAAGAATATGGAGTTGAAATGCACAATTCTCGGCTACGATTTTGATAAGAACGAAGGCTTTGAAATCCTTGCAGACTTATTCAACCAAGAATATGAGAGTTGACATGCGCGTCAATTCCGTTTGTGATACGAACGAAGGCCTTGAAATCCTTTTTGACTTTTTCAACCAAGAATATGAGAGTTGACATGTGCAATTGTTGGCTCCGATTGTAATACAAACGGAGGCCTTGAAATCCTTTCTGACTTTTTCAACCAAGAATATGGGAGTTGACATGCGCAATTGTCGGCTCCGATTGTGATAAGAATAGAGGCCTCGAAATCTTTCCTGTCTTGTTCTACCAATAATATGGGAGTTGACAGGCGCAACTTCGAGTGCAGCTCGGTCTACTATTTTGTTGACCGGCTTCCTAGTTGCATCTTCTTCCATCTTCGTTTTAGCAATACAACCCTTTCCATAGAATTTCCAATTGTCGGCTCTGGTTGTGATTAGAACGGAGGCCTTGAAATTCTTCCCGATTTTTTCAACCAAGAAAATGTGAGTTGACATGTATAATTTGGGAGCATTTTAGGAATTGGATTATGACAATTTGGGAGTATTTTATAAATCAAATTATGGGATCCTAGGATTATAAGAATATGAGGAAAACTTAGAGATATTTTAAAAATCAATATTAAATCCTCAAATATTTTACTAATTTACCATCGGGTTCAGGGAATTATATGCAAACCCCATCCCTAATTTGGGGCAAAAATATTTTCTGTCTCTGCCCCATCCCCGATTAGGATTTGAGAAAACTTGCCCCGTTTGGGGTTGGGTAAGGCCCTAGTTTTGTAGGGAAAATTGTCATCCCCACAATTCTAATAATTTTCTATAACTAATTATTAAAATTTCAAAAAATATTGAAATTGCTATTGATTAGTAGTAATTTATAGTAAATTAATTATGAATTCACAGTTTCCTCCAAATTGAGAAAAAGAGGTAGAAATACGAGGGTTATAGGGAAACCAGTACCTAAGACCCGATAACATCACCCCAAATCAATTTTGAGAAAAGTTGGGAATGTTTTTTCCAAATTTCAGGAGCTTTGAGCAATCCTGTTAATTCGCATTTCGCTAGAATTTGAGCCCAGACGACTCGTATTGGGCTGTTATAGCAGTTTGGATAGAAGTGTGCCTAACACATTCCCTCTCCCAATTCTTGGAATCCAAAATTTCTTGGTTGTATGCCTTTTCCATGGAGAATGGAGTTACCATTAAAGACTTAAGTTAATTTTTCAAATCTGAAAATGAGGTCCCATTTCTTCTAAAAAATGAGTGGCGACTCCATCTTTTCGAATTGCCCATGAGTTTCTTGGAGCTCATATAGACCAATGCTGAATACAGTTCCATAACACTGGTACCAAACAAAACCAATGCTGTTTTCCAAGAAAACAACCTATGTGGTAGCATCGATGCAAAAAAAAAAAAAGAAAAGAAAAAAGGAACCGTTTTCTGAGAAAATGGTGCAACAGATCCTCATGCATACAACACCGTTTTCTCAGAAAACATCTTTGAAGCAATGACATCGATGCCAAACACCTACATAGTTGACAATGTTGGCAATTGTAAACAATATTAGTGATATTCCTCCCTCTTCAACATTTCAAAATTCACCTACATAGTTGACAATGTTGGCAATTGTAAACAATATTAGTGATATTCCTCCCTCTTCAACATTTCAAAATTCAGGGGATTAGGCAGCGTTTGATAATGTCACATGACTCACATCAGAACATTTACCAACTACCACCTTGCATTCGGGAGTGTCTAGGAGGTAGAAATAGGACACATCCATTTGCTCACAAGCTTGGCTGTGTTTGGTTGTATTTGCACTAATGCAAAACTATTGTAGTGCAGATGATTTGGATTCAAATTCTGATTTACTTTTATTTGGTTGCATTTTCATTTGCACTCCCATGCATTTGTACAAATGCAAATAAAATTGCACTGAAACCAAACACAACCTTAAATTGCTAAATACCAAGTAATGCTGGAGATCCGTTTGAAGATCCTAATAAATATCACTTTTCCTGCGAACTTGTTTATTTGTCATTGCTCTGCAATCATACCCGAAGGAATATTGTTCTTAATATCATATGGTAGGTACCACCTAGACAAGGAATACTATAGACGAGCATAAAGAAATTGAAAGTGTTTCCTAGCGGAAGGGCTTGTGTTTCATTCCAATAGGATTTAGCATATTATCGTCATCCAAGTCTTTTCCCAACTCTATAGATCGACTACATGAGTCCTATTTTGTCATTAGGTTTTATTGAATAGGGGTGAGTAAATGGGTAGGTTCTACCCAGAATTGAATGGAATCTATCTTGAACTGGCCTTGAACTGACCCTATCCGACCTGTTATAGGATAGGGTCTGGTTCCAAATTCTTGGAGCCGACCCTTGCCCCGGCCGGTTCTAGTGTCTAGGGGTTTACCCTATCCGAACTGACCTTAGTTGAACTTAGTAGAACCTGCCTTGAAACTGAACCTGCCTTGAAATAAACCACAAAATACTTTTGGGGATGTAAAGATTTGAACCCAATCACTCATGGGTAGATCTAGATTTGAGCCTTATAATGATATTCTCCATATTAACTTAATTTAATCAACAAAGATAACATGAGTTTTAAACTATATATATTATATTTATTAAAAATCAAATTTTTAAAGAGTATGCTTTGTTTTTAAAAGGAGAATAAACAAATAACAGGTTCCACGGGTAGATCTAGAAACCAATAAAGTCAAAACTGACCCTAGAACCGACCTTCACAGGATAGGTTCTAGGTTCTACCATAGAACTGAACCGAAACGACCCATGCTCACCCCTACTATTGAGTGCCATATTTATTGTTAAATAATGAGTACTTAAATTATTTCTTATTACTTCAACCAAAAAGTTGTTCACATTTTGTGTGAAAAAATTGTCCATAATTGATAAGAACAAAAAGCAACTTAAGCGATAGCGGTGTTGGATAACATAGGAGAAAATAAAGCTATTATTTATATAATTTTATTGAAAAGTTCCATTTCAACCTATTTGGGCCCCTAGTCATATTTCCACTTTGCATTTTTTCTCGTGCTATGTTACTACGCTAAGGCTGTGTTTGGATTGAAAGAAAAGGTAGAGAAAGGTGGAAAACTTGGTATAGACAGATTTCCTTACCGTTCCCTACCTTTTATTTCAAACCAAACACAACTGAAGTGGAACAACCTTCCCACATTTCCTGTGAGGATCAGCGTACACTTCTCGTTTTATTTTCATCAAATACCTTGCTTGAAAGTTAAAACTTCAAAGAAATGGTATGCAGATATGTTTATAGAGGCTATGAGTGGTGGTCAATCCAACATGTTTGTTTCACGCTGAGTTTATAGGGGGAAGGGAGAGGTTTATGGAATGGAGAAGCCTCCCCCTGTCTTCCGATTCTATATAACTTTCAATGTGAAACAAATAAGTAAATAAATAAATATATTCAAATGTTCATTATATTAATGCCATGTTTGGGAGTGCTTAAATATAAGTGCTTATTTGGGCTAGGACCATACTATTAAACACTTATTAGTGTTTGGGAAATAAGCCCAAAATAAGTGCTTATTTTTTAAGCCCAAATTTCCAGCTTTTTTTAAGTGCTTATACAATAAGCACTTATTCAAATTTTCTTTCAAAATTATCCTTAGTTAATTTTATAAAAGTACTTTCGTAAAAATGTTTTCATAAAAGTGTTTTTGTAAAAGTGCTTTTGTAAAAGTACTTGTAAAAGATCCGGAATCGGGAATATCTCCCCATTAAATAAAGCACAGAAGTATGGAGATATTCCCAATGCAAGGCTGTAAAGGCTATTCGAACGGGGCCTTGCACTGACTGAAGCCAATCTCCTGATTTAAGCATTCATGATTTAAGGATGTTATTCATTTAGCATAACCCATAGGCTATATATCAACATAGGAGGCGGAGCCCACGGACTCCCAAGTATTTTTGCAATCTGGATTTTCTGCCCACAACTCCCTACCCACACTCTATCTACCTTGAATTATAACCGCACATCTCCATCTTGTATTCCATGATGTGCGGCTGCAGTGTACTGTGGGTAGAGAAAGTGAGTAAGAAATGAGATCAACTTCAGTCAGTGCAAGTCCGTGCTCACACCATTCCAACAGCCTCTTGCAATTTTACATCGGGAATATCTCCCCATGAAATAAAATACAGTAGTAGAGATATATTCCCAATGCTACGCTGTAAAGGCTGTTTGAACAGGCTTACACCGACTGAAGCCGAACTCTCTGTATTCTATATGGTTTCTTCAATCTCCCAAGTCATACCAACAAATGCATTCTCTTGCTTATCAACCGACGGCGTTCAACCTGGCTCACATTTTTGATCGAATAGAATGGATGGAACAGAACTCAAAAACCAGATCGGAATTCCCATAGAGTTTTGCTCCATCGTTTGTTTATCATCCTTTTCTCAGGTCCTTAAATTGTATAATCTGAATCTTTGCTTTTAGAAGGTGGACAGCAAACATACACAGGGAAAAGAACAATATCAACATAATGACCGGTTGAGTACTAAATAGCATCAGTTAGAAGATAAGAAAATCAGTACTTGAGTTCCGATTTGCAGAGAAATCAGGAAGAAAAAAAAAAAAGAAGAAGACAGAGCTACATTAAGACTATAGAGCTAACAGAGATAGGAGCAGCACAAGAAATCGAAGAGGCTCTCCAAGCAGTCGTAGAAGCACGAACAACTGCATTAAAACATTCAATGAAAAAAAAAAGAATGAATAATAACAAATATAGATCTAATGAAACAGGAACGGACAAAAGAGAAATGAAGAATTGGGTTCATTACAACTTACCATTCGTTGACAATCTTGTCTTGCTCATCTTCGCCTGCCGAGAAATTGTTTCTTGAGCCCATCTCTTGGGTCGATGGTGGTTCCATCTTTCTCCCTCAATCCCCTCTCTTTGAGTCTCAGGGAAAAGAAAGATGCGCCAAAGATGTTAATGGTCCTAGATGAAAGACTCTGGAAGAACAAGATCACGCGACGGCACCATCTTGGACTGAAAAAGACATGAAAGAAAAAGTTCTACCCTCCTTTTCGTTAATCTTTTTCAGTTTTTTAATAGTTTCCACCAAATGAGACAAACTTCTTTAAGTTTGAAACCATGAAAATAACCCACACAAAAAAGGAAATACAGTGAGGAAAGTATTATGGGTAATTAAAATTATAAAAGACTTAAACCTCCCTTCATATTTTTCATAAATACTAAAATCTTCCCTCACATTTGGATTTAGACTAAGATCACCCCTGTTATCTGACATCATTAGACAAAAACCTCCCTTCCCCCTTGGCATTCTGTTAGGATCTGTTAGCATATGGCATCATATGAAAAACTCAATTTGGGAGTGCTTAAGTTAAAAATAAGTGCTTATTTTTTTTAAAGTAAGCACTTATTTTATATTGGGTCATTGGTAGTCTCTTTCTCCAATAAGCACTTAAATAAGCATTAGTGACTATTTTATCCTTCATTTTCTTTCAAATTTTCAAAATATACCCTTTGAAAGCATTTTTATTAAATTACTTTTATAAAAGCACTTTTATGAAAGAATTTTTATGAAAACACTTTTATGAAAATATTTTTTCAAAACCACTTCGATAAAAATAATTTTATAAAAATACTTTTATGAAAGCATGACCTTGGATCTACTTAAGTGGCTCCACCAAGAAGTCACTTCATCTAATTCAGGGTGGGGCCATGTCAGCAAAGTAAAGGCTTTGATTTACTTATTTCATTGCAGGGCTATGAAACTGTGGTAGCAAATGTGGGTTCCAGACAAAAACATTATATGTTACTGATTTTTTTTTTTTTTTGAAAAACCTAATTTTGAAAAGCCAATTCTAAATGATGGGTCAAACCCCATCCCTGATGGGCCGATGGTGGATCCCGGACCTTTGATCAGTGGGGGCACACCAGTGGCCTCTTTGGGTAGAAACCAATCTAAATTAAAACATATTTGAATGGATTGGACGATCCATACATTAAATTGGATCAGTTCAAAATGATCCAAAATATTCATTAGATTGGACTAGACCTGATCCAATTGACACCCCTAAGTAGAAGTTGGGAAATAATTGATTGTTATTGATAAAATCGCATACAGCTTCTATGGTGGTTCCAAGGGATAAATCAATCAAAGGCCAGTACAATGTGAGAAAACTGTTGTGATACATGAAAAATTATGCCCCAATCTCACTTTTTGTGAAACTACAATGAGAAACTTGATCATATATTATTATTATTATTGTTGTTGTTGTTATTATTGTTATTATTATTATTATTATTTCTTTTTTCATTTTTTCAAACTGGAAAGAAAGAGTGAAATTGCTATGGCAACCATAGTTTGAAGAATTTGATGAATTAACAAATCACAAGTCTTTCTTCACACCCTCTCAGATTCGGATTCCACTATTTCAAAAATTTGAAGAATTAGCAAGGATAAAAGAGACTTTTTAATAATTTAGTTAGATGTAACTTTAAAAAGAAAAAAAGACCTTAGTCCAATTTAATTAAAAGAGAAGGGAAATTTAGTATTTAGGAGAAATATTAAGGGAGGTTTAAGTCTTTCACCCATAATTAATCTAATACTTTTTATAGAAAAAAGAATCATCACAACAGATTGGTGGGACAATTATTTGGGTAACTTTTCAGCGTTGAATGAGTCTGCAACTACAAGTGAACTGGATTACCAATTCTAGCCAGCAACGCTAGCACTATATTGGGAAATTTTGCCTTCAAGGACGAAATAAAATTGATTAAGCAAGGAGATTCAAGGTGGAAGCCGCGTCCATGCAGATTGTATTTGGCTTTGGTTTCCATAGTATGTAGATGGAAATCACGTCATGCTTATGCTTAGGTTGTAAATAAAGAAAGTTTATAATTGCTCAGTTACGGTGAATCAATGTTTTAAAAATTGTTCTGGAATTAGAACCGTTCTATCCATCGCACTCGGTTTAAATGGATAGCCTGTTTTGATAAAAATAAAAAAAAAGTCAAAAACCTCTTAATAGGTTCAACAGGTTAATGGTTCGGCTATATGAGTCAATGGATCATTGACCAATTTAACGGTTTTTAGGTGAAGACTGGATTTGGAGTAAAACGGTACCGATTACTTAGACATTCCAGTCAATAGCGGTTCGAAAACATTGGGGTGAACTGTGATTCATGTTCTGTTGAATCAACAGAGAGATCTATGGTTGTAGATAAGATTCAAAGTATCGATACGATATTGGGCATATCGTATCGTATCTTGAAAACGATACGGTCCCAAACGCCTGTTTCCAGGTATTTCAGACCCCAATTTTTTTTAATAATAAAAAGCATGCTAAGAGCTTCCCAAAAAAAACCAAAATTTGAAAAAAAACTAAAAAAATAGAGTTTTGGCTGTTTCTAAGTGCCGATATGATATGGTCGAAACTCGTATCGTATTGATACTTTGAACCTTGATTGTAGATGGACTGGAGTCACTGGACCATGGAAGATGATCAAAGAGGAAAGAATATGAAATGCGACCCAGCAATCATTGGTTGAAATGGTATATTTTTGGGTTTCCAATTTCCGTCTCGATCGACCGGAAAAATGGAGATACATGCTTACATGTGCCCTATAGTTGCTCTTCAAGTCTGAACTCTGAACTGCCCACATGCTCCAGAACCAGGAGTAACCGCCCATCAATGGATCCAGACTTGCCTACATGCTTTTCAAGTCTTTAATAATTCTCCACATCTTTTCAAGCACCACTTTCCTTTCAAAGAGGACGTTAAACTTTTGGGGTCTCGGAAAAGGAATTAATATTTTTTTGAAAAATCATATTGAGGGTTATCTTGAAATAATTATTAGACATGACAATTGATAAAATGAATTAAAATAAACTTTTTGACAAAAATAATATTTTTATTAAATTTTAATTACTAAAAGTGACTAAAAATTGGAAAATCAGGAAAAATAATTTTGGAGGGGATTACATGGAACCTAAGAGAACATCACACAAAATTTGGACACTAAAATAAGCTGCTTTTATTGCCAAAAGTATTGATAAAAATGGGTTTATATTAATTTTTAATTACTAAAAATGAAGAAAATTATGAAAAATTGGGAGAAAATGATTTTGTGGAATGGGATTGCATAGAATCTAAAGGGGACACTCACACAACATTTCTATGAAAAGATAAGCTAATTTTGTGCAAGAATGACACACCAAGATGAGTTGGGGATAGGTCAACAAAGTGGTAACATGGGGTGTACGGGTGACATGATGAAAGAGTAACAAAAGTCACAAGTTATTGTGGGTGTGCACAAACCATGCGCATCAATGGCATTGTGGTGTGCACATACCTCGCACCAGGGCACACCACACAAGGCATCAAGTGCAATTGGGTGTGTACATGTCTCACATCGTGACACACCACACAAGACACCAAGTGCAGTTGGGTGTGCTGATGCAAACGGATCGGATCGGATTTGAATCATGGTATATCCGAATCTGATCCGATACTATGGAAAACAGACCCGATCTTATATGAAGATTTGATCGGATCTCACAAATCGGGATTCGAATTCGAATCCAGTGAGGAAGTTAGATATTCAGATATGATCTGATCCAATTTAACTTTTTAAAAAAGTAATAAATTATTATAAAAGTATAACAATTTAAATAAAGAAAAACAAAATATGCAAGTATCTTATTAACTATTTTCGTCATATATATATACATGTTTTTTTATAAAACATAAATAATATAGCAAATTTATAAAAATGCAATATAAATAATATATTTATAAATAAATAAATAACATATATATTTATATATTGGATCGGATTTTCTCGGACCGGATAGGGTGATCCAAATTCAATGTGATTTCTGATCGGATCCTATTATTCGATCTGAAGATCTGAAATGGGGATATCCAAATATGACAAAATGGGATCGGATCGGATCCCGATCCATTTGGACCCCTATGTGCACATATCCCTTGCACCATGACACACCACATGGGGCACTATGTGCAGGTTGCCATGCACAACCCCTTACACCATGAGATCACATGGGGCACATTGTGTAGTAGGTGCGCACATCCCTTGTAGCAAGATGCATAACATGGGGCATCATACATAGTCTGGTTTGCACATTCGTTGCACCATGACACACCACACATGGCACGTTATGTAGTTGGGTATGCACATCCTTTGCACCATGACACATTACATCGAGCACCAGGTGCAATTAGCATGTACATCTAGTGTACAATTATAATTTAGAATTTATAGAAATGACAAAATAGATCCTTTGTTAAACTTCTTGATGAACAATCTTAAAGGTCCTAAATATGTAACTAGAGATGTAACCTCAACATTGTACTCACATATGAAAAATTGGGCAAGGTTGCCACTTAGGTTGCTCTAGAAGCGCATATGAATCGAGCTTCTAAGAAACGAAGGAGGGAATATAATAATTGACAGGATAAAAGACTCTTGCCAAATGTTATATCCTTGCTTCCCTATACAATTCCATCTAGAAACAATATGAAAATATCTCTACCTACTAGGAAATGCTAGAAGGAATTAAATTCATGTATGAAAAGCAAAATCATTTTGATAGGCAAAAGGTTCTCAAAATGTTGATGATCAATCACATGACTGAGAGCCAACTAGTTCCTGAGCATGTCATGAAGATGATAGGCTACATCAATGAATTGTAGGCTCTTGTCAGTATCTTGGAGGATGACATTAAGACTGATGTCATCCTTAACTCTCTTCTCATTTCTTACAATCAATTTGTGTTTAACTTCAACATGTATAAGATGACTATTACCTTGAATGAGCTCACTAATATGTTGCAAAGAGTTGAAGAACTGATTAGGACAGAAAACCCAATTGGCCTACTTGTATAAGTAGGAAAGAAAAATGGGAAGAAAAAGAGGAAGCAAAGTAAGAAAGTTCAGAAAAAGAAATGCATAAAGTCTAAGAAACAGAAAAAAGACAAATCATTA